TTTCGCCACTCGTGAGAATACTGTTTTTAAAGCCCACTCGATGAAATAAATATAATATATAACCAACATTTTAGTTTCGTCGTACTGGACGATTTTTAATTCTATGTGTATATTGTTCATTAAAACCATGATACATAAATAAAATTAACAGAGTAAATCTAAATATACGTTCAAGTCTTTCAGTTCAAACATTGATAACACTATCGACTTATATTAAATTAATTTGTAAGTCATCAACAGCGTTTTCTAGCATTACGTTCGTCATTATCAACACTATCTAGCATTACATTAACTAAGTCACGAACAACACTCTATAGTATAATATTAACTATGTAAGTGGTCAGAAAAACTATCTAATATAATATTTACTGACTTAGTCATTAACTATCTAACATTACTTACATTAACTATGTAAGTGATCGTTAACACTATCTAATATTACATAAACTGAGTAATTTAGCAGCAACATTAACTATGTAAGTGATTGGAAACACTATCTAACATTGCATGAACTGAGTTAGTCATTACCAACACCATCGAACATTACATTAACTATGAAAGTGATCGGAAACACTTATCTTACATTACATGAATGGAGTCAGACATTAACAACACTATCTAGCATTACATTAACTAAGTAAGTGATCGGAATCACTATCTAACATTACACGAATTGAGTTAGTTATTAACAACACTGTCTAACATTACATTACCTATGTAAGTGATCGGAATCACTATCTAACATTACACGAATTGAGTTATATCTTACATTACATGAACATTAACTTACTTATTCATCAGCAGTATACAAGTTATTACTACATGAATTTATAATTTTAATAACTGATAGTTTAATGTGAATGTAATGTGTATCTATTTCAAATATTTAACCTTCGACAAGATAATCTAATTATTTTCTTAATATCCTAATAATTATTAAAATGACTAAGTATACAAAATTCTTATAAACATTTTTGAAATAATTTTTAAACTTTTGTTAAATTAATTCAAACATTTAGATTTGTCTTCAATTTGCAAATACAAAATGTCGTTTTAAAGAGATTTAATGAATTCGAGAAGTGTAAATGTATAAATTTTCTAGCTTAAAGAAAATGTATTTTATTAATTATTTCAATTAAATAAGAAGAGTGATCAGAAAATACGTAAACGTTTCCAGTAATATATTTATTTGACGTCTCAAAGCTTTAGCAGATTGAATTTGTGGTAAAATCATGAATGTTTTCTGAAAATGATTTCACTTTATTCAACTCAATTCAAAATGTATTTGGCACTTAAATCATTTAGCCATCATTATATTCATAAAGCCCAAATTGTTGTGATTACACACACCACACATAATTGCTAATGACATAACATATCTAATGGCGTCATGACCTGTTAGTAAAACAAACACTTTCTGTAGAACATACAATATTGCCCATTTATCTAGCTGAACTACATTGTACGAGTAAAAGAATAAATGGAAATTGTGTCACACAATCAGTCCGTTTTTAGTATAAGTACTTAACCATGGTAAGCATACAAATTTGCTAATTTCATTCTAGATTGTAAGCAAAAATTCAAATAATATACAGATTTATCATGCAATGATGTCATGATTTGATAACGACTTTTAGCACAGCGCAAGACAATACGAGGAAAACTCTTATAGACATTACTTCAATCCTTTAAATAAGTATGTAGATTAGAAAATGTGTTTGTTTTGCATGTGAGTTCACTCGTGAACACCATATTACGTATTTTCATTCATGGCTACGCCACTTATGAAATTTCAAAAACACTGTTAACTTTGTAAACAAATATCCTGTTTGTAAATTCTGACTAGTTAGTACTATATGTATGTCTTAACTGCCCTAAATTTATTATCCGTTTCTTTTATAAATTGTCCAGACAATTTGTATCAGGTTTTAGATATTCTTAATTCTTGTAACTTATTATTTTGTACAGAACGCATATGCAATTTCTATTCTCAACGCATATTGTGTTGAATGTATGCTCTTTAAAGTTTGTTATTTTAAGGCATGCAAAACAATTGTAGGATATTATGGAGTAAATTCATTCACATATTAAAATGCAATGCAATGCAAAGTTCTGAGGTCCCTAATCTCCGAATGTTATATAACATGAATCGACAACTGTGTATAAAAACAGGTAATCTCGCAGTGGTTTGTGCCAATGAAAATGTTGTTCTTGTGCAAATATACATTTAACCTAGATTTGCACGTAATTACGTAAATTTAAGATGTAAATTATGCGGGTATATAAAGTTCATGTTTTGTATCAATTAAGATATGAATATAAAGATCAACAAACGAATGCACACTTAGGGACCATTTCCAACTGCGGTCCACTGGAGAGACACAAAATGAAAGCAATTTTCGGAAAAGCCGTTTTTGTTATTAAGCATTTAGCGGAGGATCACAAAATATCAATATGTGATGCAAGTATTTTCATTGTCTGCAATTTCCTTTTATGTAAATTTATCTTACTTTCGCATGAATACTATACACTAAAGATGGAAGTTAGAAAAAAGCAACAATAAACAAGATATACATTCTACCCAGATCTTGCTTTTAAAATAAGTCAGTCTTGCAGATTATCTCTCAAGTTTTAATTACAGGCTACATGTGTAGAAGACACAAAAAGAAATACAAATCAATTACGGCTTACAAAACATGCGTCTGCTTTTTTTCTTTCATTGTTAAAAGGAAATTACTTTCTAAATTATCAAAGAAATTATTCGATTTAATATCTTCAGTGTCTTATGAATATGTCAAAATTATTGATGCAGGAACTTATAACGGTGTATTACAAAAAACGGAATACAGTCTAATGTTGTCAAATGTTGATCACGTTAATGCTGGCCCAGTCTAGGAACTAGATACTGACTATATAATTTCCATTGATAAAATCATATCATGCGATGAAAACTTTCGTATTACCAGTTGCCTAACAAGTTCACTTGTTAGTGAGCTTTGTAATTGAATGTGATAGAAAAGTATTCATAGGAAAAAATTCCGACTCTAGTATGTCTTATAAAGAAATATATTAGCTAGGCAAATATCAGGAGTGGTTAGATTAGAGTTAAATCCTTGCGGAACATTGAAATATTATGTTCAAGTAATTAGTTTGTTAATATTTTGTTTATATAAACAGACAAATAAGCACCATTATTTCTGAAGCAAAATTACATGTTTATAGAGGATGTTTGTTTTTTTGTGTAAGACAAAATAATAATCATTTTACCCTTTTTTGTACATAATAACGAGTATAAATCACATTTCGATGTAACATGAATATATAAATCTTTTTCCCCACTGGTAGCCCCATAATTTCAGGAGCTGTTATAAAAAATAAAAATAATAAGGCTGAAAATTAGTTCAAAAATGAATATAACCCGGGTATGATGATATAAAATTTTAGAAAGAAAGACATGAATGAATGTTTACTTGAATAAATATAACAAATAACATTTGTGTTTCTAAAAGATGAAGTATTTTATAACATTGATACCTAGAGGAGTAATTTATAATGTTGAATTCTGCTTAAGCCGGTGCTAGGGACTTGAACTGTAACTTGCTATCATGAACAGGCTTAACAATTTTAAACATATTCAAAAAGGGGGACTTTTTAGAGGATTGTAACAAACACTTATGTATTGTAATTAAATGTATATACGTCCAAGAAACGACAAGGATTTGAAAATGGAACTTTTTGAAAGGCCTGTCTTACTAACACTGAATTATTTAGTTATCTTTTTGGCTGGTGAATGCCAATGGTTTTACACAATGTATTACAGTTATTGCTCGTTTATACTTTACTGGGCCAAAATGTCTTAAAGAGCAAGAGCAATTTTACATGTGAAAGGACATGTAATTATCAATGAATATTACGAACGTAATCAAGCAGGAAACGTTCAATTTGATCACCATGTGAATTGAACGAACATGAAGAATCTAAGTAAGTTTTATCCATTTAATTATGATTGTGGTCAGTATTTAACTTGTAATCGTACGAACAGGACTAATTATGTCTGAATTGATAATAATTTTTAATTGAAAATATAACTGTTTACTTAATTGTAAAGATTATTAGGATTTAAATTGTCACACATTGCTAACATACTTTCGAGTTATATTTTTGATTTGCTCAAAACGTTTATATTTCAAGTTTTATATAGAAGTTATTATTAAATTTGTCTTGAACTATGAATACATTCAATATCACATTCAATATCACCTTACATGTACGCTTATCAATAAAGAGCAATCTTCAACTTGACTTCATCATATTTGCCTGGGCGTGTTTTATAAATACTTATATGAAACAACAACAGACGCCAGACGTTATTAAAAAAGAAAACGACGAGTTAATTACATTAGTAAACAACTAACTTATAGCATCAATGCTAGTTTACATGGGAAATACTCTGCACCAAAATGACGATGAAAACTGATAATTATATATTAAGTTACTATGCTGCATAATTCGTCAGGACATTCACGTGTTTGTATATTGGTCAGAATTGGTTCCGTTATAACATTACTATGTAACTTTTAGGCTTTTGCTTTTCTCTGCCCCTGCCCTTTTGGCGACCCTTATGGTATATTGCAGGGATGTGTTTAAAATGTTTCTCTCTCTTGTTGATATTAATGAATTATTTTTTGTCAGCAAATGTTTGATCATAACTAACATTGAGTGTATCGAAGCGTAGTACAAAATAGTTAACTGTGCTACATCTGTAACAATCACAATCGAAGGCTGACCATCACATTTAATTAAAAATAAGCATGTTGTTTTTTATCCACAATTGTGAAAGCCAAAAGATCTTTAAATATCAAAAAATTAGTCAGGCATTTGGATATCAGAACTTACAATGTTTTTAACTCTACCATAATCAACAATACGAGGATAATTCTGATATCAAAATAAGTCGACGATCAGACATTAATTACTGCACATTGTAAAAATTCACTTACTTCATAAACATTTGTATTCCAACTTTATCCATATCATCTTTAATTTCTTTCCAAGATTCGATAACAAGTTCTTTTTGTTCGTCTGTAAAATCAGGTAGATTTTTCTCTATATTATTTCCATTGTCGTTTTCGTCACCAGTTTTATCTGGTAAATATTTTTTTCGCGGTTGTGTATTAACATTTTTATTTTTCCGCATTGCGTCCTTTCTCTTCGTCGAATATAAACAACCCATAGTGTTATTTGAAACTTAGGTTATAACAATGTGATATATATATGTGAAATTCTATCGCTAGAGAGATATTTTGTTAATCTTATGTACCATCACATTTTGTTCTATCAAATATTCCTAATGAAATGTCCAGCTAAATATTTCATAAGTTCATATTACAAGGTTAACTGTATATCCATTTTCTTTTCTGTATAATTCTTTTTTATCTACTACCGTAAACTCTATTTCTTTCTATTGATATAAATAACGTGGGTATTCCAATACCTAACTCTACTGCTACTGAAGTTCCCAATCTGAATGAGCATTTATTGTAACAATATTGGAGGCAGAATCATGCCTGGAACAATCCTATAGAGCTCTTAACATACAATACAAGACAAACATGCCTTCAATGACTATTATTGGAAAAGTCATAGACCAATAAAATCACAGTGGTCTTGTGTTTACAATAGGTATCCTATTGTTATTTACATAAAATATTCTCTCTTTCTGTCTTATTTTTGAAAGAAAAAGATATTTGAAATCCTTCTTAATCACTTTGATATGATATCGCTGTTTCTGTCGAATGTGAAGTCATCAACATTATATAGTCGAAAAACATTTTAACCTTTTATTTATTTATTTATTCATTCATTCATTCATTCATTCATTTATTCATTCATTCCTTTATTTATTTATTTTTTATTTATTTATTTATTTATTTATTTATTTATTTATTTATTTATTTATTATATTAAAAACAACAGTTAACATTTTATTTATTTATTAAAAAAAACATTTTAACCTTTTATTTATTTAGTTTTATCTATTAATTTATTAAAAACATTTTAACACTTCATTTTTATTTATTTATTTATTTATTTATTTATTTATTTATTTATTTATTTATTTATTTATTTATTTATTGAGAGCTATAATATGATAAAAAAATCTATTATTTGAAATGGTCACGAACTCAGTTGATTAAACTAGCAAGTTCGTATATATGTCAGAAATAGCTGCCCAAAATATGTAAATGGTATTCATACTACGATCTTCTCTTTGTAAATGCATGTAAGAGAAGTTATGATAATAATTAAACAAAATTACTTATGACTACTTTTGCATACGAGTATAGGAGCTTAAGTAGGTTTAAATCAGAGTTGTCATTGACCCATATTCATGCATCTGGAAATGTGCCCCTATGTAAATACATGACAAAACAATTAATGAAATAATCATGAGAAGAAATGCCTTAAACACTTCATCAGATTGATTTAGGTAATCTAGGTTACTTCTTTTTAAATGAAAATATTTTTTAAAGCGAAACACTTAATTTGCATATAAAACTTATTACTAATTGAAATTATTACATTGGGAATCAACTACATACGGTACTCTACCGCTGTCAAATTTGGCCAGTTTAGCTTTACATTTCAAACATACTGCCTATTATAATGGTAACTGACATATAAAAAAGTTCATCGCAATCTTAAGTTCAGACTTTAAAAAGCACTGTGGTAAGTAGTGTTTCATCGGATGTGTGTATGTATTACTGTAAACAACCCAAACTACACAGCGTTCAGCCCTTTGTGGCTTCGGGTTTGTCTTTAATGATTGAGGTATAAAAATTGCAGCCACTGTTTTTCCCTGCGTGATCTTAAGAGGCGATACATAGGTTTTGAACAACTGGAGTCTATGTATTTCTTAGCTAAAATCATCTTTCCTATTCCGGCGTCAACTATACTGGTGCGTGCGCCGTACAACAAAACAACAAACACACAACGTTCGTTTAAATAATCCTAACATGTTTTAGACCATTTTTAGATACAATTCCAAAATTCAAAGGGTTTAAACTCATTTAGTTGCATACACTGTTAACTATGGAACAATTTACTAGCCTTAAATTAAACTTGCAGTGAAACAGTAGATAAATTAAATTAAACACTATTCTATTATTATTTATTCTTTATGATACATTTATTTTGATGATAAATGATATACAATTTGACTTTTAGCATACTTGTTTTGTTTTATTACCGATAATATTAAAGCCATGTCTAAAGATTTACCGGTAAAACTAGCGTATTTATGCTTGATGAAAGATTTATGCTTGATGATAAGATTGTAAAAGTAAAAGTATTTGTTTGTTCTATGTCGATACAGAAACGATCTTGGTAATCTAGTTTGCCAGTTAATGAAACTCGTTCACCGACCTACAAACTCTATAATCTGCAATTTGCTTTAGGTTTTGGAGAAGATTATTTAGTACTTTATCATAGAAAATCAATTTATCAAATGCCATTTTTGTCTGACCAAATATGTGAAAAATATTCATGCAGGAATATATTAATATCTACAAGATTAATAACCAAATGCAGACGACACAAGTCCCAAAGCTTATCGCTTTCTTTCGTTTTAAGTAATGGAACATTCTTTGTTTCAATTGATTAATATAGTGGATATCAAGATTTCAGTGGTTGCCTAGCAAGTGCGCTTATAGAAATGTACTGTTAGAGAATAAGATGGAAAATAATGTGAACTGGAAATATGAGTTGTAGACATGTTGTCTCATAACATGATTTATATCATTAAACAATTTTTACTTATTAAAAATTATCAGACGTATTAAACTTAAAACATTTCACCACTTTAATTTAAAGAACAGCAGGGTTTTTTTTTCTTTGTTTCTAGACTCTTGAAAAATGACAGCTCATATTTTTGTCTTTCAACCATAACATCTTTCACTTTCTTAAGACAATCTCACAAATATAAAATTACGGTTTTTAATAAATATGTGTCATATCATATTCTATAATTAATTACTAATGCAACAATTTGTATTTCATTGTTTAAATATGACCCGACACAGACATGTTCATGGGCAATTTGTTATAGCCGCAGGTAATATCATATAACAATTGCCTGACTTGTTTCATGATTATATGAAACTATTATCCATATCTTCTGTTTAGTATATAAGTTCAAGTAAAATATTGAAGGTTCTTAAAAGAGAAAATTTCACCAGTTTATTTTAAATGTTGAATTCTGCTTAAGCCGGTGTTAGAGGGCGTGGGCGGTGGCTTGCACTCCATGAACAGGCTCAATCAAACCAAGCCTGCAACATTTTAAAATTCTCCTTTGGGGCTTTCTGTAGGAATTCTGTTTTTCTTTATTTTATCTTTTAAATGATCACAACTTGTTAATTTATGTAATGGATATTTAAACAACAAATTTCAGATAAAAATTTCTCCACGACCCAGCCACACAGGACCATCGACAAGTAGCCCAGCTGGACACCAAACAAAAACAGGACAGGACACAAGGCAAAACACGCAACAAAACACAGCAACGCAAGTATCTTAAGGTATTAGATGTATAATTGACACGTTTTCAAAAGGCATTCAAAACTTTATATTAATAACCGGTACTATATTCTGGACATAAATATAAAACAAAATACAAAAGATTACCATCTTAATTGAAAATACGTTTGTACTTTTGTATCAGTTTTATACAATATCAAAAGCAACAACAACAACAACAACAAAGAATAGTTTTACATTATCTGAAGAACAGTTTTACTAGTTTTATTTTTTTAGTTGAAAAATACTTATAAAGAACCATACTTTTAAAAAAAAACTACAAATAAAACCAATGATAAATGTCTATTTGGTTTATTGAGACAGGTACTTGATATTTTACATTGAATATTAAGAAGGTGGGATACGAAAAACTTTTTGATTTTTTCATATAAATAGGGGTATCAAATATTATTCAATAATAATTATCTAGATCCAAATCTAAACATTTGTGAAAAATATAAAAAGAGTTTACCATGTCGATTTCAAATTATAATCCTTTTAAGTTGTTACCCTGTCCATTTTCCCGCAATTCACAATAAAAATTATGCATAAAACTTTAATTTTTCTTATTTTTAGATTTTATATAAAAAAAAACAAGAAAAAGATCAAAATCCGGCCAAATAAAAAGAAAAAGAAGAAAAAAATTGAAAAAAAATGCCTCTTCTGGGGTTTGAGCCCACGCTCTATCGAAACTCTGTGTTCTCACTGAAAATGTATACTCTTCAGAAAGGAGATAATGCAATAAAGCATCCAATACCTTAAGAGGGACAGCGTTTATCCGCTCTAAATTATAATTCCTCAGTTCAGCATTATTAAACGATACTGATGCATATGTCTCAGAATTCTGCTGATCATAGTTCAATTACAGAACAATTTGATAACAGTAAATGGGTGGCCATCGTATAAAATTACTTATTACTTACGTTATAGAATGTACAGGTAGTTATAGAATGTAGTTATTCGTAAATTGTAACACTTTGGAATTAAATTCTATACATAATCATAGCGCCTGTAACAAATATTATACCATATCGTGAGTGTTTTGAGATAACACTGTTCAGGTTTATAGAAGAATTTATTAACTTGATATCGAAAGAAGAGTATCTTTCTCAGCAAACAATGAATAACAACAATATACATGTATTATGAACCTATGTTCTATTACTCTTACCTATAATCATCAACAAAATACATTCCATTATTATATAAATATCATATGGGTAAACAATTATCCAGAGATACATAATTTTTAATAGGGATAAATTTTTCCATGGGTGACTGATTTGTTGACCTTTATTGCACTACCTACTTAAACTCTTTGTCCGTAGTACATTTTTATGTTACATATTTTTTTCAGAAAGTACAACTTTTTCAATAGCATCATCAAGTTGGTAGAATAATTCTTTTCTTAAAAATTAAAAAAAATGTGTATACGGAAATGATGTTGTTGGTTGTTGGTTTTAAATCAACATTTCAAATAACTTTCATCGTTTACTCTGTCATCACGATAGTTATGTTTAAAATATATGTCTGTATCATTGTCACAGAAAAAAGCCGCCATATAAATACCAGAGCAGAATTTTTGTTACATTACATGGTTTGGTTTCTTTAAACAAATAAATCAAAGAAAACATTCCGTCATTGTTTTTTAAAACTTGTCTATTGTCTGTTGTCAATGCAATTACTGCTTTCAAAGTGTCTTGCGCATTACTTCTGAGAACTAGCAATAGGAACCGTAAATTGAAAGTCTGTTAAAATAAATCAAATTAATTGTAAAGAAAAGTCAGAAAATAATAGATGTCTGTTTATATATCAGGACGCGAAACTCGCATTTAAATTGTTCAGCTACTAGACACATATTTCAAATCTAGACATCTTATTAAGTAAAAGTAGAACGTTCGTAAGAGTAATCGTGTAATATGTGTGTCATGAACTATCGAGATGTGTTGGAAAACTACTTTTTCTAGAATTGATATGAATCTTCCATGAGTTACAACTATTACTGTTCTG